TTTAACGATGTTCGAATGGGCGACTTCATTGTCATTAAGAATTGGGGTTCTACCAAATGCTTCCACTACGACAACCACTGGCCCAAAGGCAATCACAATACCAAGATTGCCTTGTCCAAGGGACACATATATGGTCCAACCATCCATTTCGGCATCTTCGACAAGTTCTTTGCGGTACAAGTACCTATTCTCAACTACGGTTTACGATGGGTAAATATCTGGTTAATGACAAAAGCATGCCCCTCAAGGGCGTCGTATTTGCATTACCGATTCGTATCGAAGAACACGCCATCGATCCAACATGGATGGAGACTGTCCTGAAAGGGCCGACATCATGCAGCGAGGAGATACTACAGCACAAGGTTAGCGGCAGCTTACCATACCTTGGAATGCCTAGCATCCATAGACCACGTATTCCGCGTACACCACCAAGAAAGCCCGCTCCACGGACACCTGATCCAGACGAGCTGGTGGCCACGCCTGCCGAGGACAACGCTCAGACGGGCGAAATTCCTCGACAGGGTGCAGCATCATCGCATGATCCACTGATCACCGTAATCGTGGACATATCAAATATCGCTCTTACTGCAGATGAGAAAGCTGCGAACGACAACATGAGAGCAGACCTCTCGGCAGACATCCAAGCAGAAGAGCAGATTGAGGCAAGCATCCTCGACAACATCATTGATCCGCCATCGAATTTCCTTGACCATCCAGTTTACGACCCCGACGAGGATTCAAGATGGATTAGACAGTCTGATGATTGCCGCGTGTATTGTTGGACATCGGCGTTATTGGTGGATTCGCCTATGATCAAGATGAAGCAGATCATCGAGCTACACAGTGGCGCAGACAGAATCGTAATGGACAAAATTCAGTCACATTTACAATTTGAAATTCGATTTGGATCGAAAGCATGGAATGCGGAGCCATATCAATTGAACTACAATCATACCCACAAGTGGGCACGTGACTTACCCAATTGTGGTGCAGATCATTTCTTCAAAAAGTTGGTACACTACCTCGACCCAGAGACTATCGAGGAGTCGACCACAGGCATCTTTCAATGGATTTCCAAAGTATACCAGAACACCTTGAAAGATAGCATTGTGGAATTACCAGATTTCGCCAAGGAAGTCATCCATGACAACCATCCTGCACTGCAGGCATTGCGTGGCCTATTCAAAAATTGTACTGCGACATACGGTAATCCAGATTTTCCTGCGCGGGAAGAGCTGCTGGAAACACCTGCTGCGCCTCGAGAGCAAGGCGCTGAGCAGGATATTCCCCAGGACCCAGGCAGTGTTGCGTCTGCAGCTCCCGATCAGGAGACTATGGCACGTATCATAGCCGAGCAGACGGGACTCAAGCGCGAGGAGTGCGACAACGAGGCTACCTTGCAGAAGCAGGCTCGCCGTCTTCGTGAGGAGAACGCATGCCATGGCGGTACTGAGGATACCGACAACGTCAAGATAGAGTACAAAGGACTGCCAGGGGAAAGGTTGTCTCGGATCGAGATCGAGGGTTTAAGCAGATCGATCGCTTCCAGACCGAACACCGAGATCAATCGTGAGGTGATCAATCAGATCGGTCAGAGCCTCGCTCGCGGTCAGGACACCCGCTGGGGATCCCGCGATCACCTGACTTCGGCAGGGGCCCCCGAGACGATCTTGCATCCCATACCGCTCTGTCAAAATTGCGGTCGAGATCTGTCCCTCGGGATTGTCACAGGTGACGGCACACTTTGTGATATCTGTTGGCAATGCACTGTGGCCGTAGGCGCCACAGGTAAGAGCACCGCCACACAGAGCGATCTCGCGTACCTGCAGAAGTTGACGAATTGGATCAAGACGACGTTGTCTGAGGACCAGATCGCGAGATACATGAAGGACGGCGCGCACGTCATTATGACGGGTGCGCGATCGCACATAGGCACAGAGAAAGATCAGTTGCGGAGATTGGCCAATGCGTCCAAAAAGAGGTATCAGAAGTGGGTCGAAGCCGGTAGCCCGCCTGCACACGAGTGCAGATTAATGGGCGAATCCGAGGACGAGCGACCTCTGCACTACCCATTCGCCAATCTCATACAACGCTTTCTCAACGACCTCAAGTTCCATCATCAGATGACAGGTGCCCGCGTGAATGTTGGCAAGACGCCCTGGACCGTCGAGGACATGCGCGACGCGTGGGACATCCTTGACGTCAGCATTAGGACAGGACAGGCTGGTCGGAGAAAGTGGTGGCTGAACGAGGGACGCATTGACAGGCAGACGCGGCAGGCGCGCGGACTGGTTACGGTTTCTCTCCCTCGAAGGGACGGAACCCGTGAACAGTTCACCCAGCGCACGCTTGCCGCGATCGCCAATGAACTGATAGGCTCCCTCGATCCGTCACACACCGACCAGAGGGGGGTTAGTGCAGGGATGAGAACCGATCCCGATACACAATCCCAACAGTCCGGTGACGCCATGGAGCCGCGGCCGCCGCCGCGCCCGCCGCCGCGCCCTGCTCCTGGCGACGCTGCTGCGTCCAGCGCCTCAGGCGCGGAGGACTACACGCCCGCGATGCCGCGCGCCAAGAGAGCACGCACATCTGATTACGCTGCTTACTGGCGCCACGACTTCGAGGACAGCTACTGGGGTCTCCGATATTGGAGTTACTACATCAAATGTTGGATCTACATTGCGATCAACAACGACGAGTATGTGTACATCCAGGATATCACGTACGACGATTGGTTCCGCAACTGGATCCCGAGGACAACTTGGGAAACGTTTACGACAAGCTACGCGACGCACAACGGCCAGAGGGTGTGGGACCGCAGGTTCTACAAGGACGGCGACGCGTAGTGAGTCGGCCGCAAGGCCCACTGCTCAAGAGCAGAACTTCCTTTCATCAAAGTTCGCCTTGAGCGGTGGCTAATATATTCTTTTAGGCCACTTCAATCATTCCAACAAGTGGCCGTCCACACATATATATATATGTCTTTTGCGATCACCGAGGCAGCCTCCTAAGGAGCAACGCCAACGGGAGTCGCCAAACAGACTTTTTATACATCCCTTTTCGTGTTCATCAACACGACATTTTGTCTGGCCAGACACTTGCTTTACGCAGATTTGCGTTTCTTTCAGGATCGTGTTCGTCAACGCGATCTTAGCATACATTTGTTTTTAGGCAGACTTGTGTTCCATTTCAAGATTGCGTTCGTCAACGCGATCTTAGCATGCATATTTTACCAATTTGAACAATATTGCGTCGAGAATAATCTGCTGGCTGGTGGCAACACCTGCCTCGCAAATCTTGCGAGGCAGATTGCATGTTGCCTTAATGCTCAGATCTTCTTTCTCCGCCCACCCTTGTCTCATTCTTCTCCTCCCTCGAGTGCCGAAGCGTTTTTGGGGGGGGCGCACCGAGGGGGGCGCCAAAGTGCGCCTGGAGAAGAAAGGGGGGCTTAGGGTATCTCTTCTTACCTCACTTTGCAGCTGTGGCTTCGCTGATTTTAAGCCTCAGCTGCCTTTCTGACTTAAGGACTAAAGGAGTTCAGAGGTTACGGATTCCTTTCCTCTGTTCCCGAGTCCTGCCTTAACGGGCGGGATTCGGGACGGGGGGTGTGAATGGAACCCGTGTAATACCCTCATATATACTCCTTATCCTTACCTCTCCCGCACCTGGCCATTTGGGCTCAGGTACTGAGTTGGAGCGATCGTACCTTGATCGCGTGGGAGGGAAAGATATCCATCTATCCCTCCATCTCTCTACCAACGGACCAGGGGTTCTGTACCCTTGTACTTCAACCCCATACACACTCACTCCTGGAAAATATGACGTGGTCGTCCAGTTTACGTTGTTGCCGCTGCGCTGCAGGGTTCGGGTGTTTGCCCTGGCCTACGGGGGATGTTGCACGTATTTGGGGTTGTTGTCCAGGTTTTTGTGAATGTTGCAGTGCCGAGTTCTTGTTCGTGCCAACGTCTTGGAAAGCATGGTTTCAACGGATGTTGGATCTCCCGTTCTAGCGTGTCCGGGATTTCGGCTCCCTGAGACCCCTCGAACTTAAAGCATCCGCGCCGTCCCCTTGACCCCCTACCCCCTACCCCCGTGTAGGTGCCCCTGTTTGCTGGTGCCGAGATTTGGGGCCCCCAGACGGTGCGGTGACCGCACCGTGTGGTGGGTCAGTGGGGATCCGAGGTCACCGCACGAATTTGGGACGTGTGTTGTTCTCCGAGGATGTATCGGGCGAGTGGGGCCTCCGCGGTCCCAACATGGTGCGGTGACGGACTGTGCGGTGAGATCTTGTGGGATTTCGAGGTCAGTGCCGGGAACCCACAGAGAGGCGCCGAGAGGGGAAATTCAGCGTGTGCGGACGAGATGCTCCTTCTCGAGATGTTCCTTCAGAGGTGCGCGTGGGTTGGCGATTGGGTATGTTTCCATGCGAAGCCGACGCCGCTCCGTCGGAATTCCGGGCGGTCTTGGCGGCATATTTCGAGGTATTGTCCCCATGCGTGGAGCTGCCGCCCTCCCGCCAGAGGAGGAGGAGGAGGAGGAGGAGGAGGAGGAGGAGGAGGAGGAGGAGAAAAATCGACGGGTCCAGAATACATATTTCGCTGGTGTCCGACCCCAGGAGGCCCCGAAAAAGGGGGAGCACGCGCCCCAGCCGCGTGGGCATTCTCGCATCAGCTGCCCGCGCAAGGTGGCGCGTATAAGCGCCCTCGTCTGCAATCTAGCCTGCCGCGCTGGCGGCCCGCGCAAGCCATCGCGTACGGTCGCTATGTCATCTCCCGTAAGGCCCGTGTCTTCTCGTCGCTCAGGTGTTCCAAGGAATCCCCAGGGAGGCTCAGATGGCCGTCGGCGCACCCCCCTTTCTCGAGGCCCAGCCAGCTGGGCCCCAGAAGGGGCTCCAACATGGCACGAAGCGCTGGGGACACCTTGGGCCAGGAGCATTTCTAGCAACTCCTGACGATGTCCTCTTGGCCCCCCCCCCAGCTGGCGGTCCCGCCCCGCAGGTGGTGTCCGTCTGCGCCGGCTGCGTCCACTCCCTGGCGTTGTCCGCCGACGGCGCCCTCTTCGCGTGGGGCGCGGCGCTACAGGCGCGGGGCCCCGCTCTCCAGAAGAAACTCAGGGTTCGATGTTCGAGGTTATCGGAAGACTTCGTCGGTTCCCGGCGGTTTCCCAGCCTTGTGATGCCTAGCGGCTTCATCTCGCATAACGTCCGCTGAAGAGCCGAGCTATAGCTTGAATGCCAAGGAGTTCCAAGACGTCCACCACCGAGAACGGGGGGGTGGTGCGGTGGCGGGCCTCCGAGCGTCGTCCTGCACTGGGTGGTGCTCCAGCGTGCCACCGCCCAGGTGTCGGCTCCCTCCGATGGATTCTTGTTGCCAGTGCTCTGCCAGTTGGCCAGAGGAGGATGAGGAGCAGGAGGAGCAGGAGGAACAGGAGGAGCCGGAGGAGCAGGATGAGGAGGAGGACGAGGAGGACGAGGAGGACGAAGAGGAGGAGGACGAGGAGGAGGACGAGGAAGAGGACGAGGAGGAGGACGAGGAGGACGAGGAGGAGGAGGACGAGGAGCAGAAGGCGGAGGATGGGGAGGGGGGAGGGGGAGAGGGAGAGGGGGAGGGGGAGGGGGAGAAGGAGGAGGAGGAGGAAGACTAGTGTAAACCCAAGAGCCATCAACGATGTTGGAATTTACCCTCCCTCCAAGCTTCCTCTCCATAGGTTCCTACACTGGTTCATTTCCATTGTTTCGGATCTGCTTCGTTGGAAGACAACCGTTTAGAGACCCAGAAACATACCAAAACATTGTTCTCGGGATTCCAACGCCACGGATCAACCAGACTGTTGCGTCTTGACGATCCTGGATCGTGCCAGAATGCCATCCGTGGGATTTCAACACCGCGAATCAACGTAACTGTGGCACCCCACGAAACCTTGAATCCTTCCAAAACACCGTTTCTGGTACGTTGGTTGTGGGAATCCGAGAAACGCTTACAAGGTTTTAGAACGAATGTGCGCGGCGCTAAGGCGAGAGTCACATTTTGAAAAGGAACCGCCCTCAATCCGTGAGACTTGCAGTTTTTTAGAACGAATGTGCGCGGCGCTATGGCGAGAGCCACATGATAAAAGCGGTTCATTCTCAATCCGTGAAGTTTTTGCACACGTTTAGAACGAATATGCGCGGCGCTATGGCGAGAGCCACAGTTTGAAAATTGGTGATCCTGAATCAGTGGAACTCTTGAAATCTGTTAGAACGAATGTGCGCGCCGCTAAGGCGAGAGCCATATCTTGAAAACGAGCCGCCCTCCATCTGTGAGACAGTTTCCAATTGTTAAGCTTCCGAGTCGTAAGTGGTGAGGAAGTCTCGGGCGACACGTCTGGCCCGCCCTAAATATGTGCCCTGGGATGCGACAGGGAGAAGTTATGCATAAGGACAATATATGGAGGAGGAGGAGGAGAAGGAGGAGGAGAAGGAGGAAGAGGAAGAGGAGGAGGAGGAAAAGGGGGATGAGGAGGGCGGCGGGGTCGGGGGACGGGGGACGGGGAGGGTGGGGGGAGGGGAGGGGGAGGGGATGGAGGGGGAAGGGGAAAGAGGGGGAGGGGGAGAGGTGAGGGGGGTGGGGGGGAGGAAGAGAAGAAGGAGAAGGGGGAGCAGGAGCAGGAGGAGGAGGAGGAGGAGCAGGAGGAGGAGGAGGAAGAGGAGGAGGAGAACGAGGACGAGGAGAAGACGAGGACGAGGAGGAGGAGGAGGAGGACGAGGAGGACGAGGAGGACGAGGAGGACGAGGAGGACGGGGAGGACGGGGAGGACGAGGAGGACGAGGAGGAGGAGGAGGAGGAGGACGCGGACGAGGACGAGGACGAGGACGAGGTCCAGGTCGAGGACGAGGACGAGGACGAGGCGGAGGAGGAGTTGGAGGAGGAGGAGGAGAAGGAGGAGGAGGGGGAAGGGGAGGAGGGAAGGGGAGGGGGAGGGGGATGATGATGATGATCATGATGATGATGATGATGATGATGATGATGATGATGATGATGATGATGATGATGATGCTGATGCTGATGCTGATGCTGATGCTGATGCTGATGCTGATGCTGATGCTGATGCTGATGATGCTGCTGATGATGATGATGATGATGATGATGATGATGATGATGAGGATGATGAGGAGGACTGGAGACTGTAAAAAGACGATGTCTTCCCAACAAGCAGACCAAGGAACGGTGAGAACCACGGCGGCCGTGACTCGCTGCCCGCACGAGACGGCTCGTTGCGTCGGGTGGCATGGTCCCCTGAAGCCTTCACCGTTATTTCAGGTTCCTCGGCCAGGAAAACCACGACCAACCGTGCCGAATCGAGCGGCATGCGCAACTGGACTGTACGAATGCGACAAGCCCAGGGCGGGTGGACACAAGGTCCCATGGGGTTCACGGGCCACACGACCCCACCTCCCCACCGAATGCGCAATCCCCGTGCCTGGTACCCACCTCCAGGCCACGGGCGCAGCTAAGGCGCCACATGCGGACAAGCAAACTGCTTGCCGCTGGTTCCGAAAATTAGACCCGGTTGCTTCTCTCCTTGCCTGCTGCAGCGGGCAGCCCTGATAGTATGCCCTGTACGTGAAGACTGAGTACCCGAATACGGTACCCGGTGCCCACGCGTAGGGCATGATGATGAGGAGGAGGAGGAGGAGGAGGAGGGGGATGAAGAAGAGGAGGAGGAGGAGGAGGAGAACTGCCACAGGACTGCGTCCTCCCTGAGGGCCCCCCTCCCTTCCCGGGCCTCCGCCTCCGACACCGCGGCCGCCAGCCGACGCCGACGCCGACGGACGACCCCCCAAACATCCATGGACGTGCGTTTGACCTATCCGTGGCGAGGTCCTGGCTCGTTCCTCGGGGCCAGGAGCTGCTTGGCATCGCTCGGACGTGTGCATTTGTTTCCACTTGTTTCTCGGTCAGGGCCTTCGAGGAGCAACGTGGATCATCGAGCCAACAAAAAAAAACACGCCTGAGACCGACGCATGCACGGGGAGTGGACGCCCGAGCGACGGCAAGTGTTTCGCCTCGGGACCAACGCTTTATTGCCCAGGGGGCCGACAACGGGCCCTAGTGTCCGAGACCGAGGGAACAAACCCAGATTGCATGAACGTCAGTTTACCAGCGTGGATCCCCACACCGAAAACTGTTGGCCTGTGGATGTGCAGGCTCTGTGGTGCAAGCTCTGTGGTGTAGCCCACCCAGCGCACGAGGCGGCCACGAGGTGGCCACGGGCGGCACTGTGGCGAATCCTCGCCGCACCGACCCAGCGCACGAGGCGATCACGAGGCGGCCACAGGCGGCAGCGTGGCGAAACCTGGCGGGGAGCCCATCCAGCTTCGAGGTGTGTGGCGACCCCAATCTCCGATTTGGGCAGTTTCGACTGGCCCAATGATGTGAGACCCAACTCGGGGATGTGCGGTGGGGCGGGGGGGGGCAGTCTATCCTTGACAGGGGTGCTTCCCAGCCCCCTGAAGGTCAATCCCCGAGTTTCCCCTCCTCCCTGAGCGACCAGATTTCTCGAGGGACATCGGGCGTGCCCAGACGGCCGCTCCAAGTTTTTCGATGCGTGGGCCCCGGAGGTCCGGACCACTTTCCCAGGGCCACATGTTCGTCCTGAGTCGTTTTTTCCCCACATCCAAAGTGGGGTTCTTGTTTTCTCTGCACACCCCGCGCAGGAACACTCACCCCACCCCCCCTCCTCTTCTGCCTTCGCACACTCACTCACTCACTCATCATCACCACTCACTCACACTCACACTCACTCACACTCTCTCATCATCAACATCAGCATCATCACTCGCGCTCTCTCACACGCTCAGTCACTCACATACTCATCATCATCATCATCATCATCATCATCATCATCATCATCATCATCATCATCACTCGCACTCTGTCGCACACTCACTCATTCACATACTCACCAGGAGGAAGTCTCAGGCGGGAGTTCGTCTGTGAGTGAATGTGAGGAAGTCTCAGGCGGGAGCCCCCTCCCTATGGGGCCCGCACTTCATGTTCGAATCCGAGCGGGTCATCCGCAACGTGCAATTGTCGTCACGTTTGGGCTCTTGAGACCTGAATATGGAGGAAGTCTCGAGCGGGAGCCTCGTCTGTGAGTGAATTGCGAGGAAGTCTCAGGCGGGAGCCCCCTTCCCTATGGGGCCCGCAGTTCATGTTCGAATCCGAGCGGGTCATCCGCAACGTGTAACTGTCGTCACTTTTGGGCTCTTGAGGCCTGAATATGGACGAAGTATCAGGCGGGAGCCTCGTCTGTGAGTGAATTGTGAGGAAGTCTCAGGCGGGAGCCCCCTCCCTATGGGGCCCGCACTTCATGTTCGAATCCGAGCGGGTCATCCGCAACGTGTAACTGTCGTTGCTTTTGGGCTCTTGAGGCCTGAATATGGAGGAAGTATCAGGCGGGGGCCTCGTCTGTGAGTGAATTGTGAGGAAGTCTCAGGCGGGAGCCCCCTCCCTATGGGGCCCGCACTTCTTGTTCGAATCCGAGCGGGGGCGACGACGCGCTGGGCTTTCCCTGGGAAGCCCTCGCGGCGGGGCCCCTCAGCTACCGCCCGGAGGAAGAGGGAAGACGAGGAGGAGGAGGAGGTAGGAGGAGGAGGAGGAGGAGGAGGAGGCGGAGGTGGGAGGAGGAGGAGGAGGATGAGGAGGAGCGAGAGGAGGAGGCGCAGAAAGAGAAAGAGGAAGCCGGAGGAGAAAGAGGAACATGGGGCACGGCGGAGGAGGAGGAGGAAGGAGGAGGTGGAGGAGGAGGAGGAGGAGGAGGAGGGAGGAGGAGGAGGATGATGTGGAGGAGGAGGAGAAAGAGCATGAGGAAGCGAAAGAAAAAGAGCAAGATGGGGAGACGGACGAGAAGGAGGAGGTGGAGGAGGAGGAGGAAGAGGAGCAGGAGCTTGAGCAGGAGCAGGAGCAGGAGCAGGAGCAGGAGCAGGAGCTTGAGCAGGAGCAGGAGCAGGAGGAGGAGCAGGAGCAGGAGGAGGAGGAGGAGGAGGAGGAGGAGGAGGAGGTCGGACGGGGCTAGCACGAGGATAAGTCCGTTCCAGAGCGTTCCCGAACGCTCTCTGAGCGTTCCGGCACGCGTTCTGGGAAGGCCGCGGCGCCCGAGGCATCCTCCAGAGCCGCCCGCTCGCAGAGATTCTCGATTTTTGTCCTCGCCCGAACTTGTCCTCGTCTGGGCTTCGTCTTGGAGGCCCTCTGCGAGGCGCAGCTGCCGCGGGGGGCGGCCCCACTTCCGAGCTCGCCGCCGCTGCTGCGGGCCGCCGCCGCCGCTGCCCGGAGCCCCGAGAGGCCGGCGCCACGGACTCCGCGGGCGTGACGGAGCGGCCAGAGGCGGGTTGGGCGGCCGGAGTCGGGAGCCTTGAGAGACCCAAGCCCATCCTCATCCTCCTCCTCCTCCTCCTCCTCCTGCTCCTGCTCCTGCTCCGGGGCGGTATCTGAGGGGCCTCGTCAAGCGGCAACGGGTTGACAGGACCTTTGCTTCGCAGTGGTGCGTGGCCGATCGGGGTCTTCAGAGACACCAGAGGGCACGCATCTCAAGCGATTTGCATACGAAGTCTCAAACATGCGTCCGTTCTATACGAGGGGGCAGTCTTCATTTGACCTTGTCTCATACGATGCCCATGAATCAGCAGCAGTTGAGTCTTTGAGCGACATCACAGATCATCGTGCTCCCTCCATTCGCTTCCCTGCTCCACCAAAGCCCCTGCTAACGGGGCGTTAATACACGGGGCGTTAGTTGAGGGGCCTTTCAAGCGGGAACGGGTTGACAGGAGGCCTTTACCTCGCACTAGTGCTTGACAGATCGGGACGACAACGCACCCTTAGCTACTGGCCTGTTTACTAACGCCCCGTGTCCAGGGGCTTCGAGACGGGCCCTGAGATCCTGCCGTCGCAATTCTTGACGCTTCGCGTATCCCATCCAATTTTTAGGCGTTGTCGTGACCCGTAGCGCTTCTGACTCCGCTAGCGCCTTCGCTAGCGGACGCGACCGACAAAGTATCCCCTCCAATGCATCTGCGCACACGTCTTCGCGCTCTCTCTGAGTGGGTCATGCCGCATGGCATACACAGAATTTCCTGGCATTTTGCCAGGGTGCACGTTGCCCGAGCTTCCCTGGATGCCCTCAGCCTGTCAGCTTTAACGCGCAGCACAGCAGCTGCCTGGTGAGCGGGCCCGGCCGGCCTGCGGCGCTTCCAGTAGCCAATTAGGCCGTTACCGCGCCCTGGAACGCTTCTGACCCCGCCTGCGCCTTCGCTTGCGGACGCGACCAAAAAGTATCCCCTCCAACCTTCCACCTGGCACCTCTTGCAGCTCTGCCTTCAGTCCCTGGCGTCGCTCCTCGGCGGCAGTTTCGGCGGCCGTTAATTAGTTCGCGCGCTTAGGTAATTAGGTTTGGCTCGTCGCCCGGGCTGACTTCGGACGCCGCCTGCGCTTCCGCTTGCGGCCGCGAAAAAAAGTACCCCACCAGCCCATCCAGGAAATGTTGCGCCGATTCATGCGCCGATTCACCATGCGCAGTCAGTTGTTGTACAATCATGCTGTTGGACAAACGGATTGAGAGCATTTGTCGGATGTGCGGGGGGAGAGGGGCGACAGCGATCGTTGGAAGCGCTGGCGTAACATCAATTGAGCCTGCATTTGTCCACGCGCCGCTCATCCAGGCGCTGCAGCAAGCACACAACTGTCCAGGCTGGTTCTGCACTGCAGACTGGTCTTCCACTGCAGATTGAATTTCCACTGCAGACTGGGTTTCCACTTGTGGCTCTCTTGGAGCTCTTTGGGGGGCCCTCTTGGGAGCCCTCTGAACCCCATCCTGGGCGCCTCCTAGGGTCCGTTGGGGCGGTTTGAGACGCTTGTTGAAGCGTTCTGGGCTCTCTTGGAACCTGTTGGGGACATCTGGGGGGGGGTCTCTGGATACCTGTTGGAAACCTGTTGGGGCTATTTTGGACCTCTCTTGAGTCCCGCTGGGACGGTCTGAGACGTCTCCTGGTGTCGTCGGGGCCCAAGAACCCAAAGGAAGGTGGGCCACAAACTTCCCTCGCCCCCTCGGAGGCTCTAGCCGCTCGGGGCCCTCTTGGGCCGCTCTTGGAAGTGTCTGGGGCGCTCTTGCAGCCGTCTTGGACCCGTCTTGGGATTCTCTGGGGCCCTCTTGGGGCCATCCTGAAGCCCAAGAAGCCCATCGGCAGCGAAAAAGCGAGACGCCCTCACAAATTGATTCATTGGCTGACGCCGCACCGCCGACCCCTTGGGTCGGCAGTAAGAAAGAACACCGGAGTTTGCGGGACGATTTCTGGGGAAACTTTGGGGGTTCAGCGTGTGGGGATTTCGTCGGGGGAGGTTGGGGAGTCGTTTTGAGGCCTCTAGGAGCTTCTTTTGGGCCTCTCGGGTGCCTTGTGGGAGCCTCTTGGGGGCCTTTCGGCGCCTCCTCAGGTTTTTTCGTGGCCGAGTGCTCCAAATGTTCATTCGTGTTCCCACTCTGGGCCTCCTCTTGGGGCTGTCCTGGGGCCCTCCTGGATCGTTTTGGAAGCTTCTGGTGCCGTCTGGCGGCCCTCGTAGGCCGTCTTGGAGCCCTCTTGGGGGCCTCTTGGGCTATCTTAGGTCGATCTTAAAGGCTTTTTTGGCCGTTGTGGGCCTCGTGAAAGCCCAAGAGGCGAATGTGCTAAAAATATGCGCTTCGCCTCGGGAGTAGGACGATTGCTTCTGGAGGGCCTCTCGGGACGCCTCTTGGTGGCTTCTTGGGGCGTCTTGGGGGCCTCTGGGACCGTCTGGAGGCGATCTTGGGCGTCTTGAAGCGAATGGTCGGCGACTCGTAGCCCCCTTGGACCGTCCTGGGGGCCTTTTGGGGCCCTCTTGGCCTGTTTTGGGGCCCCCTGAGGCTCCAAGGGTGCGGCCGTCATCTTTGCCCCCCCCCACCCACCCCCTCCAAACCGGCCGTACCTGACTCCCGGGGGAGGGGTTTGGGGAGGGGGAAGCATCTCACACGCCGTGACCCCCCAGGGGTCGGCGGATTCCCGTTGGTTTTTGGACGATTTTGGCCTCTTTGGACGTGGCTTGGGAGGGGGGAGTGGCACTTGGAAAACCTCTTGGGGCTGTTTTGGGGCGTCTTGGAGGCTTGTCGGGGGCTTTCTTGGGCGATCCAGAGGTCTGTTGAGCCATCTTTGAGGCCCTCTTGGGCTGCCTTGGGCCCTGTTCGAGCAATCTGGGACCATTTTGGGCGCTCTGACAGGGCCGCCCTGCCCCCCCCCCTCCCAGGCCCAGGGGAGGGGGCAGGGGGAGGGGTCAAGACACCCACCCGCCCACAAGCCGTCTAGCTCACTCCCACCCGCCCTCCCTACACATAGGTAGCACCCGAGCCTGAGCATGGTCAGCGGTCGTCTTTGGATGGGCAGTTACTGGGAACCAAAGCCGGCCCAAAGTGCGCGACGTTTGGGCGAGGTGCGCCACGCGTGCCAGGGGCGCCACGCGCGCCAGGCACCCTTGGGGCCCTAGCGTGCCAGACACGCCTGGTGCAACAGATGCGCCACGTGCTCCGAGTGCGCCAGGTGCTCCGCGCACTCCAGCCGCGCCAGGTGCGCCGCGTTCGGGGCACGTGCAGAGTGCGTCGGCGCACGTGACAGCTTACATCGGGAAACATGTCGGCCCCCGCCATCCTTCTCGAAAGTTGATGCCCATAATTGTGTCTGCTGGGCCTGCGCACAGCAGACCACGCGCCACCAACACCGCCGTCCCTGTCAAAACCACTTGGGGATGGCCGCGCATGATGCAGTTTTAGCCGCGAGGTGCATGTTGTACTGTAGGGGTGGTAGCCCTGCGCACAGATTTGTCCCAAAGTGTACTTTGCATTGATGATTGACAGGGATGGTGGGGGGCCGCATCGGTTGGCCGCGCATGCTCCAGATGTGGAGGCAGAGTGCGGTTCGTATTGTTTTCTGGCAGGGATGGTGGGGGGCGGGTGGTCCTGGTGTCGGCATGGTTCCTAGTTGGCCCCCGAGGCCCCCTTTTCTCCCGCGAGCCGTCTCGCTCACCCCCACACGCCTTCCCAACACATGAGTCACACCCGAGGGGTTATCAGCATATTGCGTTAAGTCGGGCGTGTCCCTCCACAGGAGGAATATTCAAACATAGTCAAAAATAGTACGTGGACGGTGTTTTTAGTTTTTCGTTTTGTTTTGTCATTTTGGGGGGTACTTGTGTTGGCATTTCTTCTATTTGTCGTCCAAAACCCCTCTGTAGGAGACCAAGCCCGACTTACAGATTGCTCATAGGGGCGCCATGCATGCAGTGTACGCCACTGGCACCCTGGAGGCAACAGGCACCCGAGCGAGCCGGGCGCGCCAGGTGCGGCATGCGCTCCACGTTCAAGGAATCTGCCAGCACCCCCGCCGTCCCTGTCAAAATCGGAGGTTGATAGACCTCCTACCCTTACAAGTCGATTAGCGAATCGGCCGTTTTCGGTTCGTGAGAGGGCGTCGCGGCGCGTCATTTTTGCGGGTCCGGGTCTGTCGGTTTCGGTCCTAGGCCCTTTTCGCTAAAGGGTGGTTTACTAAAGGGAGGTCTGTTCACCGCCGACAGAACCCATGCAGAGTGGTCGCGGGGTGCCCGCGCATGCTCCAGATGTGGAGGAAGTCTCTGCGAGAGCGCCCTTCCTGAGGCCCGGGCCCTCTCTGGCAAAGGCATAGCCTGTGATGAAGTGTCGCACGGGAGCGTTGTTATTGTTGGGGAGCGGGTCTGGGGGCAACCCCGAAACGCTCGAGCGTGAGCCTCAATTATCCAGGAAATGCGGCCGGCGCCGAGGCGAGAGCGCCAGGGCTTCTGTAGGGGGTCCAATATTAGTTGTTCCGTAATTGACCAACAACAACAATCGCTTCAAGACCGCTGCTCGTATATGCTCGCATGCCACTCAACATGAATATCCCGAACCCTCGATGCCCGCCCTCTTTGTCTTCGGTCGTCTACACCTTAGGGTATATCTTCCCTACCTGCCGCCTGTAGTTGAGGCAGCCCTGAAAACAGGGACAGGGATCCCAGGAGGAGTGAGGGGACAATCGATAAAGACAAAAACAGCATAACGATAAGTTGTTGGTGCTCTGCGCGGAGCGCCAACATGTTATGCTGCAGGAGGTGGGTTAGCAGCAGGAGTAAAACTGGCAGCACCAGGCGGGCGGGTCGGGTGGGCGGACCCTGACGGGCGGGTCGGGCAGGCGGGCGGGCCCTGGCGGCTGGGTCGAACGGGCGGGTCGCTGAAGCGCCGATCCAACACGAATCGCGAGGAGGTCTCGAGCGACAGCGCGATTCCCAAAGAAACCGTGAGGAAATCCACCAAAGCGAGCGCGTGATTATTGAGTTTTTGGGGCACGGCGCTGCAATACATTGTGAGGGAGTACCACGCGATATTGCGATTCATGCATACCATCTCAGGACGTCCCGCCCGAGAGTGCGAACTAATACAAGTTGTAAGGAAGTATATTGCGGGAGCTGTTGTTGTTGTTGTAAATTGGGGGCAACAATGCAGTTTGAGGACCCAGGGTTACCCTGATAATAAACAGGGTGCGAGCCCCGGGAGGAGCACTTTAATTGAGAAACGTACTGTCAGAAAGATTTCCATAATCACAGCAGCCCATTCAGAAACGATGTCCAGGCGAGTTGCCCTGATCAGGGATGTGGAGCAGCAAGCAGTGGAATGGTGGACTTGAAAATCCGTTGTACCCCACGGAGGAGGAGGGAGGAGGAATCGGAGAAGGAGGCGGAGGAGGGCGAGCAGAAAGGCAATAGGCCTCTTGGACGCCTTTGGGAGTCTCTTCGGATGTCTCTTGAGAGCTTCTTGGAGTAATTTTGGGGCGGCTTGGTGGTTCCTGGTGGTCCACGAGGCCTCTTGAAGCGTCTTGGGTGCTTCGGGGACGCCTCTTGGGGCCTATAAGGGGTCTTGGGGGCCTCTTGGGCGTCTCTTGGGTCCCTTTCGGGGCACTCGTAGAGGTCTTAGGGGCGATTTTGGGGGAGTTCGATCCACGAAGAGAGGGTCCCATTAGCCCCCCCCCCCCAAAGCAAGCCAAAATGGGTCTCAAACCTGTTGTACACATTCAGATGTTGACCTTCTTGCCGAGGCCGTCTTGGACGCTCCGAAGCGTCGCGAACCCCCCCGTCCAGGGGTAGGGGGTAGGGGGTAGGGGGAGGGGTGACGACACCCACTCCGCCCGCAAGCTGCCTCGCCCACTCTCACCCGCCCTCCCAACACAGAAGTAGCACTCGGGCCTCAGCATGTTCAGCGGTCGTCTTTAGATGTGCAGCTAGTGGGACCAGCACATGTCCCATTTGCGCGACACTGGGGCGAGGTGCAGGGCGCGCCACGCGAGTCAGTTGCCCCAGGCACCACTGTGGCCCAAGCGTGCCAGGCACGCCTGGTGCGCCAGATGCGCCACGTGATCCACGCGCGCCTTGAGTGCTGGATGCTCCAGCCGCGCCAGGTGTGCCACGTTCGGGGCATGCGCAGAGTGTGCCAGGTGCGTCTGCGCACGTGGCAGTACACATCGGGAAAAGTGTCGGCCCCCACAACCCTTGCCGAAAACGAGTGCGCAATCGCGGCGGGTTGGCCATCATAGTGTCTTGTTGGCCTGCACAGCAGGCAATATGCCAGCACCCCCGCCGTCCCAGCCGAAAACCAATGCACAGTGATCGCGGGGTGCCCGCGCATGATGCAGAGTTTGCCTGTATTGTTTTTTTTATGGGGGTGTTGGTCCTGCGCGCATCAAGCAATATGCAGGCACCCCCGCCGCCCCTGTCAAAGCAATACAAAGTGCTCGGCCCCCTGATCATGATCCAAGATTTTGCCGCAAAGTGGACTTCACGTTTTTTTGACAGGGATGGGGAAGGGTCCTCATTGGGCTTGATTGACTGCCTGTCGCTCTGGGGAAGGGGTGTTTACCAGCTGTGATGCAGTGATAAGCCCCATCCACGAAGGGGAAGACATGTACTGAAATATGAAGCTTCCTAAACCACTCACGCCCTAAACGGCTGGTGGGATTCTGACACAGATCGTTTTTATCTGCTCGCGTGTCGTTCTACGTGTCTATCCCAAACCCTCGATACCCGCCGTCTTCATTTGCGATCGTACCCCCTCAAGGATATATCGTCCTTGCCTGCCACGTGTAGCTGAGGCCGCTCCGAGAACAGGGGTAGGGAGGGAGCAGGGAAGGGACAAGGGGGAGGGAGAAGGCTGGAGCACGAGAGAGATGACAGTCGAGGCTGATGAGTAGGTCGACCCTGCCAGATCTCGTGTACCCTCGTGTTTTGTGTGTTCGCGACCCGTGCCTTCTACACTCCCATGGCAATGTGGCCCTCGGAAGGGTCTTGTGTCCTCTCGCGTGTTCTCCAATCAGCCTCGACTGCAGCAGGAGGGGGGTAGGAGAAGGGAAGCCAGCAGTAGAACCAGACGGACGGGTCCGGTGGATGGACCTTGACGAGCTGGCGGGCGGGCCCAGGCAGCAGGGTCGAGCGGGCGGGTCGCTGAAGCGCCAATCCAACACGAATCGCAAGGAATCCACCAAAGCGAGAGCGTGATTCCTGAGTTTTTGGGGCACGGCGCTGCAATACATTGTGAGGGAGTACCACGCGATATTGCGATTCATGCGTACCATCTCAGGACGTCCCGCCCGAGCGGGACGTACCAGGCGGGAGCCATTGTTGTTGTAAACCGGGGGCCAATAATACAATGTGAGGACCCCGAGTTCTGCTGATAATAAACGGGGTGCGAGCCCCGCGAGGAGCTTTTTGACTGAAAAGTCACATGTGCATCGAAGGGGCGGGATCAACAATCCGGAAGTCTCGAGAGAGCGCGAGATTCCCAAGAACATCGTGAGGAAGTCGAGAGCGAGAGCGGCATTTCCGAGTGTCGAGGGCGCGGCGTGTCAATACATTGCAAGGAAGTCCCACCCGACAGCGCGATGCATTGATACATTCAGAGGAGGTCCCGCACGAGAGCGCGATGTTGAATTTGTGAGTGAGTCGCAGGCGGGAGCCGTTGTTGCTCTAGTTGGGGGGCCAATCGCGCATTCTGAGACTCAATGTTTCTCCTTGTGAAAAAACAGGGTGCGAGCCCTGGGAGGCGCACTTGAATTAAGAATTTCACCGATGTCGCGGCCCCACGAGATCTCAGACTTTTCACGCCTCCCGCCCCTCGCCCCTCTCTCTCGAGGAGGGGGTGGGGCAGCAGGAGGGGGAGGGGGGCACGGAGGAGGAGGAGAAGGAGGATGAGGAGCAGGAGGAGGAGGAGCAGGAGGAGGGGGAGCAGGAGGAGAAGGGGCCTTCTTTTTCAATACGCTCCTTACTCCCACGCCACTCGCCCTCGACCCCCGTACTGAACAGCATTTGCTTCACAGTCCTGCGCGCTCATTGGACGGCCTTGTCCTGTCTGCTTCGTTCTTTCGCGCGCTTTCCCCAGCGGCGCTCGCCTGTAGGGGGGGGGCTTACGTTCCGGATGGTCTGACTGCCGACTGATGCTGATCTGCTTGCCGATCTGATTGTATGGCGAGATGCTCGCTTTCAACAGGGGCCGGCAGACTGGCTTTCAAAAGGCTGCGCGAGCGAACCTTCGGGCGATTGCGACGAGAACAGACTACCGTGAGGGTGGTGCGTATGCCAACGTGGTCTTTGTCTGTTGGGCAGCCGGAAGCTCAACGTGGGCAAAGCCGTTCGGAAGCATGCGCGAAGTTTCCTGGGATCAGTGCCAGACCACCTCGTGCCTGGCGCGCGGAGCGTGCCAGGGGCGGCGCGCGGGGGTGCCGCCGGTGGGGACCAGCGCCGATCCCAGAGATCCGCGCGGACCTCCGCGGGCTCCTGCTTATACTCAAACAGTGGCGAAGCGTCCTGGCGCCCCTATAGACCCTCCAAAGACTTTTGTGGTTTGCACGAAATGTTCTTGGAACATGTCTGACTTAGTCTGTCTTGCTTTCACACATCGGGCTTAGGTTCTAAGAGCATTGTTTTTGTCTTTCGAACACTTTTGTGTTATAAGAACAGCTCGTCCCTGCTCAATATACCGACTTGTCTCATTTCTAAAATCGGACCGAGGCAGAAGAGCGAGTCAAGGGCAACGATAGGGGGGATAGGCACAGGGGGGGATGCATTGAACACCGATAGGGGCCCGATAGACCCAGCCTGCACAGGAAGATGCGGATCCACTATTGGAGGCCTATCGCCGATCTATAGGCGATGCATCGCCGATTCCAGGTCGATGCATCCCCCCTATGCCAGACCCCCCTATCCTTGCCCCTCGTCGAGGTCGTGTCGGGTTAGGGTACCCTCATGTTCTTCGTGTTTGCTGGATGCTCTTATGCATCCTGGGGAGCTACCCTCGGATGGTCTGCTTGTTTTTTGGCCGACGGAGGGCCTGACGATCTCATTAGGGCTGCTCTTCTGGCCCAGGTCCGATTGACTCCTGCCCGCTGCTCACGCTGTCGCCTCCCCCGGCGCTGGAAGCACCAGGGCCTCCGCCCCGCGCCCAAGCCCTTGCAAACGGGGCGCCAGTAAAAGGGCCGGTAGCTGAGGGCGCGTTTTCAAGTGTGTCTTCAGAAACTCCACTTCCGCGCGCAAGTGCGAGGTAAAAACGCCCCCCCCGCCCTGAGCTACGACGACAGAGTTCGCATGCTGATGCAACGGCACTGGTGCGAGGCCGATGCCCTGTCGCCCCGTTCCCGCTTGACGGGGCCCGGGCCGCCGCCCCGCGCCCCCGCCGTTCCCAGGGCCTCCGCCCCGCGCCCCCCCGCCGCTGGAGGCCTCCTGGCTCCCCCGCCTCGTGGCGCCCGGGCCGAAGCTGCCGCTGGTGCGCCGCGGCCGCCCTCCCCCCCCTCCGCCGCGGCCATGCGGCCTCCACCGGCGGCCTCGCGGCGGCCCTCGCGGCGGCCCTCGGCGGCGGCCCTGTGCGGCGGCCCTCGGCGGCCCACGGCGGCCCTCGGCGGCGCCCCGCGGGGGGGCTCGGGTTCAGTCGGGCCTGTCCCTCCACAGGAGGAGTACTCAAAAATGGTACAACAAATTGCCTGGAGACTAGTTTTATTAAAAAGAACCACCATTTTTCCTGTGTCGAGGGCCGAGGAGCTCGCGTGGAGGTCGTGGTCCCTCCATTGGGCCCCGGGAGAAGAACCATCGAGGAACATGCTGAGCCATCTTACGATCAAATGCATGGAAGCTGGAAACAGCGACCGGGGCCAGCCCTTCCATTCTTTCTAGCCCTGGACAGGTCACCTTTCTACTTTTTCCAGCCCTGGCGACCGCATCCCTCCTGGTTCGGGCTCGCTTCACCCCCTGCCAGTGTCTGCAGCCCTGGCCACTTCCACTCTCGCTGATTGTCCAACTTCCACGTTTGCCAGCTTCCCTGTGCACGCACGAATGCCGATACATGAGGAGTGGACGTCCGAGCGATGGCGAGACGTGATTTTCAAGGTGGGCCCCGCCGCGGCGGCAAACATGCTTGCATTGATATGATCTACAGATTCAGTCGGGCACGTCCCTCTAGAGGAGAAATATCTAACAGTAGTCAACATAATGATACGGGAACTGATTTTGTACTATGTTTGGGCATCTTTGGACTATTTGAGCCCAGAGGGCGCAGCACGCTGGGAGAAGGGCCTCCCGTGGACTCGGCTGGCCCTCCCCCGATTATGTCTCGGGTGTTGCTGGAAGTGCCCTCTTCCTCCTCCTCCTCCTCCTCCTCCTCCTCCTCCTCCTCCTCCTCCTCCTCTTCCTCCTCGTCCTCCTGCTCCTGCTCCTCCTCCTCCTCCTCCTCCTCCTCCTCCTCCTCCCCATCCTCCTGTGTACGCCTGCTCATACCTTCCACCCCTCCCCTCCCACGCCCGGCTTCCTCCCTCTCCCTCGGGTGTTGCTCGAAGTGCCCCTGGCACAAAGTGCCCCAAGGATTTCCGAGGAGGCCCATACGGTCTCCAGAGCCCCCCTCACGCGGCCCAGAGGGCCCCAGGGTCTCCAAAATGGAGCGAGAAGCTGGAGGTACCTTGGGCCAGGGGCACCTTGAGCAAAGAGAACTGAGCGCAGAGCACAGCTGACGTGCTCCTGGCCAGTTCCTAACCCCTCCTCTTCTCACCTCAGGGGAGGAAAGGTACCCATACCTGTACCCTCCGCTCGTTCTTCCTTGTTTTGAGCCTGTTAGGCCCTCGTTGCCAACGCTTAGTTCGCCTCGAAATCCTGGTCAGAGCGCACAACGGGAGAGTGCCTTTTGGTTTCCCCAAGACCGCTCTTCCCCCCCTCCTCTTCTCAACGAGCGCGTTCCACTGCTCGCAGAGTGCCCACTCGCCAACGTCCGGCAAGCACCACACGTCCGCTCCGATGTGCTGGATCGTACATCCTCCGTGGCGGATCCAGGCCAGCTGCGAGGAGTGACTCTGCGAGCAGTAAAACGCGCTTGTCCCTCTTCGGGAGGTGGAGCGCCGCCAGCGGCCCGGAGTCGGTCGGTATACACTCAGTGCTGCCGAAGAGCCGCGATCGCCCGCGCAGTTGAGCGGCCCGCACGGTGTCAGAAACCGACGCGCGAGTCGTGGAGTCGTGTCGCGGCACGAGCCAACCTCGCGACATGTGACCGATCGCAGAGTACGAAAAATGCCACATGTGGCTGGCTTGAAGTCGGGCATGCCCCTCTACAGGAGGAAACTTCAAAAATAGTCAAAAGACAATGTGAGGACGATTTTCTTCCATTTTGGAATATTTGGGAATATAGTCTGATTTCTTTATTCCGAAATCCGCCCTCAGAAGGACATGCCCGACCTAAGACTGGACGGGCCGCTCCCCTCTCGAGCGTGTTGCCTCCAGAGCACCTCGCGCGAGGGCCAGAGTGGCCCAGGGGCCCCCGAGCGGCGTGAAGAGCTGGGGGGGCACACGGGGCCGGGGACAGCACGCCTGGCCACCCGCGCGGACTGGCCGCCGGGCGTAGAGCCTGAGCTGCAGCTTCCGGCGCAGAGCGGAGGGAGCTCTCCACCCGGAGCGGCCCGGCCCGACTGTTTTGAGGTCGGGCCTTGGCGGCGGAACTGGTGCAGGTCAGCCTCGGGCTGATGTCAGGCAGCAAGGGCTCCCTGCCTCCTCGCTCTTCCTCGTCCCCTGCCGCCAGCGACCTGCAGCGTCTCGTCCATGACAGCTGCTGGCATGCTCATCCTGATCACTCGGAGCGGCCAGCGCGTCTCGTGGACTCATCATCGGCGTGGCAGTTGCTTTGAGGTTCCTTGCGTGGTGCAGAATTCTCGCTGTCTCCGTGGCCCAGCCCCGTGCACGACGTTCGACGGCATCTGTGGACCCGATGTCGGCCTCGCTGCTGGGAGACGTTCCGTACACACTCTTGACGCTTTGAGTCCGTTCAGTGTTCTTCTTGCTTCTCCCGAGAGAATTTCGTCGGCTGGCATGCCCCGAGTGAGAAGTGGGGCGGACCTTCCCAGAAGGCTCAGACGTCCCCCCGCCTTCTGAGAAGTCGTGTGAGCCATCCCCGAAGACATCGACATACCCCGAGACGGCCGGCGGCCTTCTGAGACGCCCCGCCGCCCTCTGAGCAGGCGTTCTCCTTCTCACTTCCCCCCCTGGCTCGCCGCCGATTCTTCTCCCCCTCTCCCGCCGCCGAGCTCCTCTCACTTCTCCCCCTCGCTCGCTCGCCTGCCCACTTCCACCCGTTCGCTCGCCTTTCGAGCTCCTGTCCCAAGAGAGCCGCGCTGGGAAACAGAGCGTCCTCACTGCCGCGGCGAGGTGCGGGTCGGCGGCGCCTCCGGCGGCGGCTGGCATTCCCTGGCGTCGGCCAGGCGCCCCGCCCGTTGGCGCGCGCCTTCGTCGTCGTCCTCGTCCTCGTCCTCGCCCTCGCCCTCGCCCTCGTCCTCTTTGTCGTCGACTTAGTTTTCGTCGTCGTCGTGGTTGTCGTCGTGGTGGTGGTATTGGTCGTCGTTATGGTCTTCGTGGTCGTTGTGGTCGGCGCCGTCGTCGTCGTCGTGGTCGTGGTCGTCGTCGTCGTTGTGGTCGTCTTCGTGGTCGTTCTCGTTCTGCCCTTCTTAGCCGTCGTTCTTGTCGTCGCCCGTCGTCCGTGGAGCGGCGCCCCATCGAGGGGTGGCGCGAGGGGGGGGGCGACCTTCTCGGACGGCGGAGGGGATCAGAATGCAGGGGCTTCTCTGGCCTAGGAGTTAACTGATGTTCCAACCTACATTAGCCTTGATCACCAGAAAGAACTTCGAGCACCACGAAATTCCCGAAACAGAGGGTGTTTCGCGTGTGGGGCCCTGGGGGGGCGATACTCGTTCGACACTGCTTCGATCGAAGTTATTTCTGGGATGTGGTTTGTAAGTACGATGGGAGAAGCATAAACCGGGAGGCTTCTCAGAAGCCTGGCGGGCTTGCACGAGCCCCCTCGCCTTCTCAGACGCACCGCCGCCTTCGTAGAAACCCACCCCTCCCCATCTCGTCGTCGCTCGGTCGCCTGTCGTTCGTCCGTCGGTCCTCGTCCGTCATCCGCTGCCGCTCGGGCGGTGGGAGGCGACCGCGGACGGCGAGACCGTCGACTTCGTTCGAAGTTCTCGTCGTCGTCGTCCGTCGTCCTCGTTGTCGTCGTGGTCGTCTTCGGTCGGAAGGTGAGGGGGCCCGCGACTGAGGGGGGGTGAGGCGTGGGTCGGGGGTTGCGAAAGGTTCCCCTGGTCCAAGGTGCCCCCAGCTTTTCGCTCAATTTTGGAGCCCCTGAGGCCCTGAGGGCCTCGTGTGGGGGGTGCTCTGGAGGCCGTGGGGGCCTCCTTGGAAATCCCGGGGTCACCTTGTGCCAGGGGCGCTTCTAGCAACACCCGAGGGAGAGGGAGGAAGCCGGGCGTGGGAGGGGAGGGGTGGAAGGTATGAGCAGGCGTACACAGGAGGATGGGGAGCAGGAGGAGGACGAGGAGGAGGAAGAGGAGGATGAGGAGGGGGAAGAGGAGGAGGAGGAGGACGAGGAGGAGGAGGAGGAGGAGGAGGGAGGAGGGAGGGATGAGGAGGAAGGAGCAGGGAGGATGGAGGAGGGAGGAGGGATGGGGGAGCCCCCCTTTGGGTTGTGGTGCCAGCCCCCCTTTGTAGCGCCCGCCCTTCGCTGGCGAAGCCCTGCAGTTGGGACGAGGAGGGGCAGTGGCGAGGCGAGGGGGGGGGAGGAAGAGAATGAGAAGGGGGAGGCCTTCGCAGAAAATGGCGGGTCTTCTCACTCATCCATGGGGCGTGCAGCATCGGGGCGCTCCGTCGCAAGACGAGGCAGCACCAGCCGCAAGCTTCGGGGGGCATTCCCCGATCCTCGGATCTGACGCCCTCGCGCAGAATCCACGCTCTCGCCCTTGGCTCAAGCCGCCGAGGCTCGAATCTAGACGTCACTCCTTGACACGAACTACAGCCAGGCATTTGAACGCTGCGCATCCAAAGCTTGGTTCATCCGTTTCATCCGTGCCAGCGCGCCCCGCAGGCCGGCGTCCCCGATGGACGGCTTCGTGAGCACGAGCTCGGAGCACCACCCGCCGCTGCAGGCGCCCTCGGGCGGGCCTCGGCGGCGGGAGCGCGGCTAGGGGATCGGTGGAAGGAGGAACAGGTTTTCGGAGGTTGATGGACCTCCTACCCTGACACGTCGATGAGCGAATTGGCCGTTTTCGGTTCGCGAGAGGGCGTCGCGGCCGTCATGTTTGCGGGTCCAGGTCCGTCGGTTTCGGTCTTAGGCCGTTTTCACTAAAGGGTGTCTTACTAAAGGGAGTTTTGTCCACCGCCGAAGTTTGTGGACGACGATCAATGGAGAGAAAGCATTTGAAGAAGCAAAAAACACATGAACGTAAATTTTGGCGCTCCGCGCGGATTTCTTGGATTCGCGTCTAGGCCCCCCGGAGGCGCCTCCGGCGCCGCCCCTGGCGCTTTCTGCGCGCCAGGGAGGGGGGTCCAGCGCGAATCCAAGAAATCCGCGCGGAGCGCCAACAGTTTATGTTTATGATGTGTTTTTTGTCTTATTCGAAGCATGTTGCCAAATAATTTCCAGATGTCTAAAACATGTTTCAATCATGTCTGAAACCAATGCGAACATGTGTTCAACATTTTCAAACATGTCTCAACCATTTCAAAAACATATTTGTATTAATGATAGGACTGTTAGGGTGTCCATTGTCATGGCATCCACAAGAACAGGTAACCATACCGCTACCCTTCGCCCGTTTTCCCCATTTGTGGGCCTGAAATCTTGGTCAGATCGCACCCTGGGAGAGGTCTGGGGAGTAGCGGTATGTACGATCGAAAGCGGTATGGGAAGCATAGTGGAGAAGGCCGACAACAGTTCCTGTCTATTTTGAACCGGTCTCGTTGTCGGTGTCCTACATCTGATGTAAGGCCTCATACGTCCCCATGTTTTCTGTACCCATTTCGTCGGTACGATCGAAATCGGTACGGAAAGCATGGGTACAGAGACCGACAGCAGTTCTTGTTCATTTTTGACCTGATTCGTTGTCGGTGTCGCCGCGGACGATATCGATTTGAAGGCCGCTTGCCCAACAGCGGCCGCTGTTGCTTTTGTACCACATTTGTTGTTGGGCATCGCATCCATTGCCTCCGCACATACCCATCTCGGGCGGCCAAATGCCGAGCGTGCCAATCCTCCGAGGTTACTCTGAAGGAATCCTGGATCTCCCCAGAAAGATCGGGGATACGATGTTGTTGTTTTGGGGGAGGTTCTCTTCAGACGTCGCTAGGACGAGGCGAGGATAAATCCGTTCCAGAGCGTTCCAGAACACTCCCAGAGCGTTCCCGAACGCTCTGAGAAGGCCGCGGCGCCCGAACCATCCTGTAGAGCCGCCGGATCTCAGATGACCGATCTATCTGTACGCGATTTGATCCTCGTCCTGACGTCGTCTTACCAGTCACCCCCCTCCGTAACGTTCCCCCTCTCTCAACACACCCGCGGCAGACGCGAAGGGAGAATCGCGTACCGCGCGTCGCGGACTTGGCCAGAGCAGCGCTGCCCTTGCTCCAGGGCGGCGGCGCGGGAGGGCGCGAAGGTCGAGGTCGGTTCGGGGAGGGCACTCTAATGCGCGTCCTGTTTGTTGGATGCTCTTCTTGCGCATCCTGGGGAGGGTACCCTTGGATGTTGTGCTTTGTTTTGGCCGACGGAGGGTTGAAGGATGGTCTTCTGGTCTAGGTCCAGCTGTGCGAAGTTAGAATTCGAAAGGGAGGCACGCGGAGATCACGACAGAGGCACGAGAGGGCAGACCAGCCCGCGTATAGGATCCCGTTTTTCGGCGGCTGCGCAGGCGAGAAGCAGCATGTAGATTATGCAGCGCGCAATTTCGACCGCGCAAGCTGGCGGCCAGAGGTCGTCGGGTCAGCAGCATTTGTGGGCTAGAACGTGTGCGTCTCAGGGGATCGCTCGCCAGAAACATCTGTCGGCAATACGTGGGGCTGTTGCCGCGTCGCGTTGTTGTTCCTTGGAGTCCTGAGTGCTGCATCCCGCGAAGGGATACAAGCGCACCCGACCCAGCCCTGAACCGAGCCCCTTCCGAAGGGGATCCTCTTTTCGCTTGGGGCCCTAGGCCGTCATCCTGCCCCCCACCCAGGGTCGAGCGTACTCTGCGACTTCCACATCCGATGTTGGGCTCACTGCGGCAGCTCGGGCCTGGGCCTGGGTAACGGGCCATCCTGGACCTTTTCTAACAGTGGGGACCGACCCATGCCAAGAAACACTCTGCTTGCCTCCAGGGTGCTTTGGGTTCCTTGGGCTTCGATGGTTCTGCCATGGAGATCTGTTCGATGGCTCCGCGCTAGAAATCCATGGATGCCCTGGGGTCTCAGGGCTGGGCTTCTTGTGGAAGCTTTCTTGTGGACCGGCCTCCACTGTGCATCGGCCCCGTCGTCTTGGAGTCACCTCCCCCCCCACGTTGGCTCCATCTCGCCCCGTGCGGCCGGCCCCACGGGCTGCCGAGCGGGCCCGACGAGGCCGCTCCCGGGGCCGCTCCGCCGAGCGGGCTCGGACGCGGGCCGCGCTCGGCAGGGCGCACCCGGGTGGCCCGCAGGGGCCGCGCAGGCGACAGCGCCTCTCTCGCGCTGCCGCGGGGGCGGCGGCCGCAGAGGCGTTGCCCTCGCCGAGGCGCGGCGAAGGCTTCGCGGGCGGCGAAGGCGACGGCACGGCGGCAGCGCGAGGCGCGAAGCACGGTCGAACGGGATCGAAGGTGGCCAGGGCAGGCACATGCCTCGAGACTTTGAGAGGCTCGCTCTCTCCGCAGAGGCAGCTGGCCGTTTTCCAGCCTCGGGATGCCTTCTAGAAGCTGCCCCTCGCCGAGGACGTCCCGGGGGTGCCTGAATCGTCCCGAACGGCCGCTGGAGAGCCGAGTTATGGCCCGAAAACCAACGTCAGTAGAGCCAAGACGCTGAAATGAGCAACAGTTTGGGTTCGGAAGGGGCTCGATCTTCCTCACTGGCCCTCTCGTGCACCTAGGCGCCTCTTGGTCAGGAAGGGGCTTCGTTGCTTCTTTGGCGTTCCTGCTGGTAGCACAGGGCTGGACCTGAACGGTGTTTTAGCGATTTCGTGGGCCGTTTTCGGTCCGACACCGTCCAAGGCGGACTGGAAGACAGCACGTGGGAAAGCGACAACAAAACGGAAACGAGAACCACCGTTTGGGTCCAGCCCGGTGGCAGCACCTCGACCTACACGGGGCCGTGCTCGGGGGGGGAGCGCCTCGGCCCACTGGCCGCCCACGGGTCGCCGACGGGGGCCCCGCAGCCCGCCCCGCCCAGTGCCGTGCGGCTGCACCGGCGGGGGCCCACGGATCTCGCCGCTCTGCCAGGGACGCATCGCCGAGGCCAGCGCTCCTCCTCCTCCTCCTCCTCCTCCTCCTCCTTCTCCTCCTCCTCCTCCTCCTCCTCCCCCAACCTCCTCCTCCTCCTCCTCCCTCCTCCTCTCCTCCTCCTCCTCCACCACCTCCCTCCTCCTCCTCCTCCTCCTCCTCCTTGAGGGACCTGATCGACTCCAGTCAGGCGATCGCAAAGATGAATCAAGGGGGCGTGGATTAGCGACGGGTCCCGTTTCCATGGGAAATCGCGGATTTCCGCCGCCGAGCGAGGTGGCGCCGGCCGCATTTTGGGGAGGGCGCCTCCCCCGATCCATGGATCTGGCGCCCGCGCGCCAAATCCATGGATCGCCGATCCATGTTTGCGCGCCCCCGACTCGAACGTTCCTCCCCTCAGAGGGCACACCTCCGACCTGGCGCCGTCGGCCCACCCTCAGCTCGTACCGCTCGGCGCTTCCGCGCCGAAGGCTTCGGCCTGGGCGCCCAACATGATGGGACTGCTTGCCATCACCTCCACCACCATGAGTTTGAGGGGGGAAGGAGGTGGAGGACGAGGAGGAGGAGGAGGAGGAGGAGGAGGAGGAGGAGGAGGAGGAGGACCCCCTCCCCCTCCAAATTGTGGTGGTGGTGGTGGAAAAACAGGCTCATCACAACAGTTCCCCGCAGCCCAGCCATCCGACGATGTTCTTCTCATGCCGCGCGCGCGGCCCTGGGGATATCCTGGTCCCTTCCCGGGGGCCAGCCTGTCGCCCCGGGGCCCGACAACTGGCCCTGGGGGCCGACATCGAGGAACGACGCGGGCTGAGATCACATCTCGGATCGAGGATCGAAGATCGCCTCGTTCTTCGATTTCGGCACCGGACCACGGATCGAAGATCACGGATCGAGGAGCACGGAGCGGACCACGGACCACAGACTGAGGATCACGGATCACGGATGGAAAACCACCGACCGCATCGGAGATCACGGATCGAATACCACCAGGATCGAGGAGCGATCGGAATCGAAGATCACATCTTCGGAGATCTGGGGGGGGCCCTGTCGCACCGGCACGGCGCCCCAGCGGTGCCTCTGGGACCCGCCGCCTCTGCTGGGCACCCGCGCGGCAACGGCGACGGCGCCGGCGCCGGCGCGGCGCCGACTAGAAGTCTTTGGGCGCCGCGTGATGGGGGGGTCATAAATGGGGGGGTGTCGCGGGTGGTCCGAAACGGTACCCAAACGGTACCTAAACGAGCCCCCTGGGGGTCCGGAGGGGCCCGAAAGGGGCACGAAAGGGGACCGTTTCTGACCTCCCCATTTATGACCCCCCCATGAAGCCACGCCCAAAGTCTTCGAGGTTGCGGTCTCCAACGCCGCAGGCAGGCTCGCGTCGTGGAGAGGAGCACGACACGGACGGCTCTTGGCAGTGTTCGGTCTCCGGGGGGGCCTTTTCGGCCACGCGCGGAGGGTGGTCCGGTGCAGGGGGTGAGGCTTCTCAGAGGCACCCCCGCTTCTCAGAAGCGGCGGGCCTTGTTTGCAGATGTGAGGAAGGCCCGCGCCTGCGAATCAAGAAGCAGCCTCCTTCTGAGAAGCCTTCCTCCCTCCCCCTGGCCCCTTGTGCGCGCCGCCAAGCCTTCGCTGGGCCCCAGGACAGCCAACAGAACAGGCACGGGATGAAAAGCATGCCCAGCGCGAGGGTCAGGTCTTCCTGGGGTCGCGCGTGGAGCAAGTCAGGACGTCGCAGGTCTGGGTCCATGCCCTGGCGGGCACGGGCGGGCTCCCTGGCTTTGGATGCAACTTCTGGGAGGCTGCACTCAGTTTCGGCGCTGGTATACCCGTGGTCGAACTTTGGCCAAACTCTGCGCAGTCCCGCTGAATCTGGCCTAATCCCACTCTCTATGACTTGATCTCGGGCCCGATGCCTAATCCGGCCCAGTGCGGTTGAATGGCATTTTTCCAGCCCAGAAGCGGGCTGAACAGCATAGCCCTCGATCGTTCTTCCGAAGGCCTCCCAGGAGCTGTGCCCTAACCTAGCGGAGCGCGCACGACTCCGGCGTTCGTTCCCAGACATCGGCTGCTCCATTTTTTTCGATGCATGGGCCCTGGAGGTCTGGACCACTTTCCCAGGGCCGGTTTTTCGTCCCGAGTCGTTTTCTGACGGTCCCGAGGCCCGGCGAGGGCCCCCAGAGGCCGAACACCGCCGAAGGCCGCCTGCTCCAATTTTTTGGAGCGTCGGTCTGGGTCGGGCCATGGTTTGCGAACGCCCCATCCTTGACCTCCTCCGCCTCATCCTCCTCCTTCTCCTCCTCCTCCTCCTCCTCCTCCTCCTCCTCCTTCCTCCGACTCCTCCTCCAACTTGCTTGGAGCGTTGGACCTCTGGGCTCCCTCGTCCCCCCCCGTCGCCGCGCGCAGGGCTTCTGCGACGGCTTCCTGCTCTCGGGCGTGGACTCCTCGCCGCTGGAGGAGCGCCGCCCGCCTCTCCCGCGGCAGGGGGGCGCCTGCTCCCGTGAGCGTGCGCGGAGGCTCGGCTGCACGAGGAGGAGGAGGAGGAGGAGGAGGAGGAGGAGGAGGAGGGAGCAGGAGGAGGAGGAGGGAGCAGGAGGAGGATGAAGAAGTGGAGGAGGTTGAGGAGGTGGAGGAGGAGGTGGAGGAGGAGGTGGAGGAGGTTGAGGAGGAGGAGGAGGAGGAGGAGGAGGAGGAGGAGGGGTGGCCGTTGTAGGGAGTGACCTCTCGTGCGGGCCCACTGCGAGCCCCCGATCGCTGGATGTGATGCGATAGCACCGAGCAGGGAAAGATACCGACACCGCTGCCCCTCCCTTGCCGCGACGGCTCCCTGACAGAACGAACCCCAGGAGAGTCCCTGGGAGTTGCGAGCGGCCTTGGCCTCCCCGGCAGCTCCCCCCCGAAGCTTTGCGCCGGATTCCGTTCCGTTCCGCCCCCATGGTCCGACCATTCGTGGAAGGCGTCTTGGGCACGGGGCGCCTCTCTCTAAGAGCAAAGCACGGCACCAGGCAGAAGGGTATAGTTTCCGATGTCCGGCGGACTTCTTGCGTCCTTCGGTGGGCGCCCTTGGCGGCGCCTCTGGCGCCGCCAAGGGCGCGCGGCCCGCTCCAGCGTCGACCCCCAGGGCCTTCGAGAACTCCCAAACAAGCGCCTTCGAGGAACAAAGGATGCCAGTGAACTATGTTTCGTCGGCGACGAGGCAGAGGAGTCCGCTCCAGCGTGTGGCTAACAGGGGCCACCGACAGGCGAATTGTCCGGCTTGCAAGAGGAAGGAAAAGACAAGGGCGGCAGCGTGGGGGGGAAGACATTCACCATAGATTCTTTCGAAGGTTCGCGTGGATGTATTGCATCGGCGATGGGCCCTCTCGGCGGCGCCTTCGCCGCCGCCCCTTCGGCGCGCTCCGCGCGCCGAGGAGGGGCCCCCCCCCGCGCCACTCCGAGCAAGCAGCGCGGGCCTCCGTCAGCGGCGCGGGCCCTTGCACCCACTGTGCCCCCCCTCCCCCTGGAGTAGGTCTTGGCTTTTTGTGGCGCATGTTTCAAGCAGAGTGAGTCCCCCCCATGGGACGCACTGCTGCAAACAGTCGCATCAAGCAGAGGTCTGGAGCCAGTCCCCCTCTCCTCGCCCCCCCTCCGCCCATGGTCGGAACGCCGAATACGAAAATCTTCACCTCAGGGTCATACCCAGGGTGGCAGGACCGCTTGGTGGCGCCCGGGCAAGCCCTGCCCCTCCTCGGCCTCCTGCGCTGCCCCCGGGGCGGCGGAGCTGGCTAATTGCGGCTTCTTGTGTGCGGCGCGCCGCATAGCGCAGGTACCGCAAGTGCCCAACTAAGTCGGCACCGCGCTGGGACGCCAGCGGCCAGGCTGCTTGCTCTTTGTCTCAAGCAGTGGCGAAGCGTCCTGGCTTGCCTATAGGCCCACCAAAGAATGTTCTAAGAACCTGTTGTGGCCTGCACGGGATGTCCTTATAACATGTCTGGTTGATATTGTTTCGTTTTGACACATTCGCTGTATGTTCGGAGAACATGTTTTTGTTATTAAAAATGTTTGGGGTTCTAAGAGCATTTCGTGGTAGCCTATAGGAATGCCGGGACGGTCGGTGCCTGCTCAATTGTCCGCGAGTGAAGAGGAAGGTTGCGCTTAAGGGTCCTTTCTTGTCTTACTCAGGGGTCGGACGGGTCTGGCGAGGTTTCGCCACGCCGCCGCCCGTGGCTGCCTCGTGGCGGCCTCGACCTTGCACCGCGCATATTGCGCCGCGTCGCTTCCACCACGCAGTTTATACTACATAGCTTGCGCATCCACAGTCCGTAGCAGTTTTGGCTCCAGCTCAAGAGGTGTGAAGGAATAAGTTAAGCGCGCTCAGCTTGGCATCCGCGCCGCAACAGCAATGCCGGAGACGCTGGAGATCAGCAAGGAGGCGGTGTCGGGCAACGGCACGCTCGAGAACGTTGGGATCAAGCTGGATGGCCAGTTCAAGTGCCCGCACTGCAGGCAGGCCTTCTCGGACGACAAGGCCCGCCAGCTCCACCTGAAGTTCCAGTGCCCCACGGCCATCGCCAAGCAGATCAACCCGATCGGGGACTAGGTTCTGAGAGTTGGTATCAGTTAACCGATCCCCATCCCCATCCCCATCCCCTTCGAGACCCCACCAAATTGCCACCCCAGCTGGGGAGACACCCCTCGAAACCCGAAGGGAACGGCCTGTATCCCCAGGGGGGTAGATCGGCCAGTGGGGCCCGGGCCACGCCGCTGGGGATAGGGATCGGTTGAGCGATACTCAGGGAGCGAAGCAGGCGACCACGCCTTGATCTGCGGGGCGGGCTTTGGGTAGACGGGGAGACAGAGCTGGTCCGGACGGCGCCTCGGCGACGCCGGCTCGAATATTCTCTGGCCAGTAAGCAGTTTGACATGACGCAATTTCGAAGAGAGACAAAAACGTATTGCGCATCCACAGTGCAACAATGTTGCTCACCGGGGCCCACGCTGGCTTTCACTCGTGCTTACGTCATGCTCGTTTGTTTCAGTATTCCTCATTCGCTCTGTCCTGCGCGGAGTGCGACTGTTTTCGCTTTTCCCCCTCAGACCTCAGGTTTACCAGGGACGCATGGCTGCGGACGCCTCACACGAGGCCCGCACGTTTTCCAGGGGGGATCCGAGGAGGGTTAATCGGGGGCACCTCGGGCCAGGGGCAGTTCTGCCAACATCCTAGACGCTGGCCGATTCCAATCTGCTTCAAGCGTCTTCCTACTTCAAATAATCGATGGGCTTCTGCTGTTGTTTGTCATTCTCTTTGGGCGGGCCCGAACCCAGCCTGCTTTGTCCGCCTTCCCACTTCGTGTTTCTGCCTGCTTCTTCGGACTGGTGGGTGGGAGGCGCTGAGGGGAAGGCATTGAGGGAAGGAGGAGGCAGGAGGAGGAGGAGGAGGAGGAGGAGGAGGAGGAGGAAGAGGAGGGAGGAGGAGGAGGAGGTGGAGGAGGAGGAGGGAGGAGGAGGAGGGGTTGGAGGAGAAGGAGGAGGAGGAGGAGCGCCACCTGCCACTGATGTCGGTGCGAGCGAACTTGAAGGAGGAGCCGGCCGGTGCTGCGACGACGACGGGTGACGGGCGGCGGCCTGATGGGCGGCGGTGGCTCTTTCCGGAGCACTATAACAAAAAGTTCGTACACGTTCATCCTAGGCCTCTTGGACTCATGGGGGAAAGAAGGACGCGCACGTATATGAATTCACGCTGGTTTCGAAAGTGCGCCTTGCGCGAGCGTTTGTATCACGCGGCCAGTCTCGCGGGTCGAGGGACCGTGTTCATGTACATAGTTGGGCGCGTACGTCCTTTGTGGGCTCCCTATGGATGGGGTCGGAGCGGGTGGGGTCGGAGGATCGCGCCGCATCGCCGATGCATCGGCGATGCGGCGCGATGCGGAGTCCGATTTCCCCCCCGCGCCGATGGCGCCGAGGCATCGCCGATGTCGCCGATGCATCGGCGATGCATTGGTGATGCGGCGCGATCCTCCGACCCCATCTATTCGAACTCCATCTAGGAGGCCTCTGCATATGAAGCCACTTTGGTTTCGGGAAATACGCATTGCGCGAACGTTCGTATCACGAGGCTGGTCTCTCGGAAGGGGGGCCGTACAGTTAATCCATATGACAAGGACGCGCGGGAAGGATGCAAGGGCCTCGGAAGCCATGTAGCCGTTCTTCGAACCGGGTTCTCCAGCAACAGTCGCCAAGGATGGGCCGAAGGGACAAGGATACAAGTGTAGCCTTTGAAAGTCGCTCAGTCTTCCTATGCGGGATGACTGTACTCATATCTTTCGTTAGCACATCATGGGAGCTTGGAATCACCTCTTCATTCCCTCTTTAGCGTCGACTACCGTCGATTAGCGTCTCGGCGTCGATGAGATCGCGCCGAACTCGCGTCGATTAGCGCCGATTCAGCGTCGGTTGGCGTGGACTTTGCGTCGTCTGGCGTCGATCCGCCAGCGCCGACAAGATGGTCTGGGAGGCTCCCACGAGTTGCCACCGAAATCTGCGCGGTTGGGCGCGCACGTCCTCTGCGGGCTTCCCGGGCTCGCCTCGGCTGCGGGCGGCCCTGGCAGGACGCCCGCGTGCCGCTCACTTAGTGTCATGTCTTGCAACGGGCTTTTGAACATGGATGATTTCCGATATTCTGGTTGACCCAAAAAGGGGGTCCAGCGAAAAGAGGGTGGCGCCATAGGTCTGGTGCAATAGATTTGGGGCGTGCTGTACATTCTGGTGCGCAAGCGTAGTGCCGGGCTTTCGCGTGCAACACAGTGGATGCAATGCAATACAATACAGTTCTGTGGCGCAATACATTTGCGATACACGTGGCCCAAACCTATTGCACCACCACCTTTTCAGCTGGACGCCCTGTTTAGGGAACCGAAACAAGGCATGAACATAACAACTTGGAGGTCCGCGCGGATTTCTTGGATCCGCGCTGGACCCCCCTCCCTGGCGGGCTCCGGCGGCGCCAGAGGCGCCACCAGGGGGGTCCAGCGGGGATCCGAGAATCCGCGCGGACCTCCAAGTTTTCATGTTCATGTCTTTGTTCGTCCCCCTGCTGTTGGGTCAACCACAGATGCGCTGCCGAAATCTGCGTGGCTGGGCGCCTACGTTTAGGTCGGCCATGTCCCCCTACAGGCGGATTTTGAATAACACATTCAACATGGTCAGAAATTGGACCAAAAGCGCCCAAACATACTCCATCAACAATCGTCCCCATGTTATTTTTGGACTATTTTTGAAGATTCCCCCCGTAGAGGGACATGTCCGACTTGAGCCTTTTGGGGGAACTGTTTGAGCATTTTTGGTGCACTTGTGAGCATTTTTGGCGTATCTTTGAGCATGTATGGGGACACGCCCGACCTATGCGTACGTCCTCCGTGGGCTCCCCTCGCCTCGGGCTCTACGGCGGGCGCCCCCCGGCAGGACGCCCGCGTGCCGCTCTGCATCTCCGCCGTCCGCGCCCGCCTCGCGACCGCGGGTGGCGCCGACTCGGCCGCCTGGTCGGCGCTGTGCCCGCAGGCTCCGGGCGGCCCCTCTCGGCCGCGGCCGCCGCAATCCTGCCTCGAGGCTTGAGTCGGGCCTGTCCCCCTACAGGGGCAAGATTCAGGCATTGTTTTCAAAATAGCCTGGGGACGACTTGTTTTGAGTATTTTTGAGCATTTTTGGTGCATGTTCTGGCTACTTGCCATGTTTCGCTCAAAATCCACCTGCGGGGGGACATGGCCGACCTAACTCTCAGCCGCGGCCGCCGCCGTCCTGCCTCGAGGCTCGTTCTTGTTGGGGGCCCTTCCTGGGGCCCACCGGACGTCAGAGGGGGAAAAGAGTACCCATACCGCTACCCTCCCCTCGTTTCCCCCTTTTGGGGGCTTCTCAGAGGCCCTCGTCGCCACCGCTGGATGCGCCTCGGAGTCCTGGTTCGAACGCACCCCAGGAGAGGTCCGGGGAGTAGCGGTATCGGTACCTTCTGGTTTCCCCATAACGGATTTGTTCGACTCCAGTTCGACTGCAGGTCGGACCGTGTCTCAACTTCGACTCTGGTTCGAGTCAGGTTCGACTCCGGTTCGACTAAGGTTCGACTCCGGTTCCACTCAGGTTCGACTCAGGTTCGATTCAAAGTCGGCTCAAATCGATGGACGTTCGACGCAGCTTCGACTCACGAGTGGAGTGAGTGTCTCCAGGAAGGTCCCCAGAATGAGCCTCCAACCCTCTCGGCCGCGGTCGCCGTCGTCGCTGGCAGTGATCGCCAGCCGCCGTCGACGTAGCGGTGGCTATCCTTGGACGGGGCTGGGACGAGGATGAATCCGTTCCAGAGCGATCCGGAGCGCTCTCAGAGCGTTCCGGGACACTCTGAGAAGGCCGCGGCGCCCGAGACGTCCTCCAGAGCCGCCGGATCTCAGAGATTCTCGAGTCATCTCCACCCCATCTGGTCCTCGTCTTGGCTTTGTCTGAGGAGAAGGGAGCTCGAGGGGGAGGAGGCGAAGGAGGAGGAGGAGAAGGAGGAGAAGGAGGAGGCGGAGGAGGAGGAGGAGCAGGAAGAGGAGGAGCAGGAAGAGGAGAAGATGAGGAGAAGGAGGAGGAGCGGAAGAGGAGGAGGAGAGGAGGAGGAGGAGGAGAAGGAGGAGGTGAGGACTTCTCCTCACCCAATTTTGTCCTCGTCCTGGCCTCGTCTGATCTCCCTCCGCGGCCGCATGCGCATCGGTGCGCATGTCGCTCTGCCGCGTCTCGGCACGCTGCTCTCCGACGCTTCGCGCCTCCCGCGCTCGAGTTCTTGACGCTCCGCGCATCCCCACCGGCCGGAGGCGTGCCCGCTGCTCCTGCTGGCTCGCTTCAAGTCGGGCGCGTCCCTCTAAAGGAGGAGCACTCAAAAATACTAAAAAGTAGTTCGGGACTGCGTTTTTTTCGCTATGCTTGAAAATTTCGGGGTCGTGCTTGCCAACTTCTTTTATTATTCGTCCAATATCCGCCTGTAGGTGGACATGCCCGACCTGAGGCTCGTTTGCTGTTCCACGTGGTAGACCTTCCAGGGCCAGGGCTTCGTGTTCGGTAAGGTACTTGGGGAACATGGTTTGACCGCTTCCCTTTCCCTCCTGGTCACCGCCTTCCTGGGCAACTGAGACTCCCTCCTCGTCATGGTCATCGTGCTGGTCTTCCGCGTTTCGCTGCGTTTTCCTTTCTTTCGGCGCGGCCCGCCCTAGCTTGCACGGCGTTCGACTCGTCTTCGCGCGCCCGCGTACCAACCCAAAAAATCCCCGGCAGCTCACCCAGAAACGATGCCCATGAGAGCTGATGGGTTCCGTGGCCATACCGAGCCGTCTTGGAACAGTTTTGGGGCCTCTTGGAACATGTTGGGAGCCATCTTGAGCCAGCTTGGGTTATATTGAGCCATCTTGGAAGTCATTTTGGGCTCTCTAAGGCCGCTCGGGGGCCTCCTGGGTGCCTTTTCGGGTGTTTTTTGGAGGCCTCTTGGGGTCTCTTGGGGCGCTCGTGGAACCCTCTTGGGGGCCTCTTGGGAGCCCTGGGGGGGTCTCCCCGGGGCCAGAAAAAAAACACCGTCTGACACAT